AGACGTGAGATGGACAGAGGGCAGAGGCTGGCGATGGACAGAGGGTGGAGGAGACCCAGAGCTCCCTGCCTCCTGTCACCTCTCAGTGGTCTGCAGAGTTCCTGCAACAGGCTGGGTGGCTTCCATCCACCTTCAAATCCACTTCCACCTCCGTCTCTCTGGGAACCTGTCTTCCATGGACCCCATCCACCTCTGGCTTGCAGTTGGGCTCAGGCAATAGGAGGCACCCTCAGGAGACGCCAGGACAAGAAAGAGAGGTCAGGGTATTTACTCCCTGCTCCCTTCTGTGGGGCCACAGATGGACAGTGTCTGTGTTCCTCTACCACCAGGTCGCTCTCTCTGTGCCTAAGCCACTGCTCAGCTCTAAGGGCACTGTTACCAGCCCCCTGTACTTCACCGCCTCTTGTTTGTTTCCCTTCATTCCATTCATAACTTTGTTAAAGGTCCCTCCATGAACTCTTCTCAATAACCCCATTCGAGGGAGCCACCTGTTTCCTGTTAGGACGCAGGCTAATTCAGCACCAGAACTTTAGGTCGGGAAGGCATGTCGAAAGTCTTCTATGGTTTCAATTTTTTAGTTTTACCTGCTGAGGTCAAGTAAGAAGCATGACTATAGCATCAATGCAGTTAGTTTTAGGAAGCACCCTGCCTGCTCAGCATACCCACCCCCTCCAAAAAAAAAGCACCTCTTCTCGGCCTCCTTGCAATGGCTCCTCAAAGTGCGAGCACTATAGGGAGCACACTCCGGGGCCGCTGACCTAACCCAAAGCCCTCACAGAGGGAGAGAGGCCGTTGGCACATTTTCCAAAGTGTCCTTTGTTGGCCCGAGGGGGTCTGATTTATGCCCTGAGCCTTCATCAACAGTTTGCCTCAATCTCTTCCAAAGTGTAAGGTCCCATAAATCTTCTTTGGGACGACAACTCGACCGCCAGCCCGTGTTACACAAACACGCAGAAATGTCATTAAGGCAACAAACAGCCTCCCCGGCCTCGGCAGCGGCCTTCTCCGCCAGGCTCAAGTTACTTAAAATCAATATTGAAACAAGGACAAAACCACATGTTTGCAAAACCAAATTAGAGGGGTCTAAGACCAGACCTGGCGATGCGGTTACATCACGCCAGGTCCAGCTGGTCCCCCAGGACTCTGTCACTGGGCTTGACCCGGCCGCAGGGGCTCCCACCCCTCGCAGTCCCCGGGACGCTCTTGTCCTGAGTGTCTGACCTCACCAGACAGGTGACGCAGAGGGGCAGAGGAAGCGAGAAAGGGGAGCTCTCACAGAGCCAGGGATGGGACCCACGTTTAGGAAAACGAGGTGTGTTCTTTTGTGCCTCTTCAAGCATTGACTCAGGAGCTGTACCAGGTCTACGCTGAGGTCTGGGTGTCCAGGAGCAAGGTCAATGGCGAGTCTCCACTCTCAGGGAGCTCGCCCACAGGGAGGTGGAAGAGGAGGCCACAGGGCATTTCAATACTGAAGGGCAAGTGGCCATGAGGCCGTGAAGTGCAGGACTCTTTGAGGGGCCGCAGGCACAGGTAGCTGGCGCTGCATGGGGGTCTGTTTGAGAAGGCTTCCACGGCGGACATGCTGACAGCTGCTCTGTCTAACCTCTTTCTCCGCTTCCTGTGCGCCAGGCCCATCCAGAGGGGGATGAGAGGAGAGAAGGCCCTGCCTTCTTTCAGGAGGGAACGTGTGCAGGGAACAGCTCTAGCCTTTCTCCTTTCTGCCGAGTGGGAAGCAGGCCTGGAACCCACCCAGCGTGGCTTTTCTGGACCATCTGCTTTCTTGCAAGCAGCCTGTCCACAGACACGCCTGCCCCCACCGAGTTTCTCTGCTGGGGTGTGTGATGAGGATGGGCAGGGCTTCCGGACTGGGCCAGCCCACGGACACCGGTGGCCGTGTGGGTCCGTCCTACTTGGAGGACACGGGTGGATGTGTGGGTCTGTCGTACTTGGAGGACACGGGTGGATGTGTGGGTCTGTCGTACTTGGAGGACACGGGTGGCCGTGTGGGTCTGTCCTGCTCGGAGGACACAGGTGGTCGTGTGGGTCCATCCTACTCATAGGACACGGGTGGCTGTGTTGGTCTGTGGTTCTCTGAGAGCAGCATCAGGGCCTTGGCCTGCACATCTGGAAGCGTGTTCTTTCACTGGCAGCACTTTGCTATGTATGCATCTGCCCCGTGTCCTGCGTGTCTATCGAGAGAGGCATCTTAATCATTGATCCCTTCCAAAGCAAATAACATGCGAAAAGATTCACCATTTATTAGTAGTCAGCTCTGTAGGTACTGTGCTTAGGAAAATAAATAAGATGAACTATGCCAATATGCAAAAAGGGGTGCATGTATGTGTGGTGGTGCAAGATTTTCCTTTTTTTAAGGTATTTTCCAATTTAAAAAAATGTGTATGTGTTATTTTAATCGCAGAGGGAAAAATAGGTGAGCATAATGAAATGGTCTTTCAAATTTAATAACAACATAAAAGAAAGTGGTAAATCTTGAAGAAGATGATGGATACAGCAGTTAGAAGTTGTGGTGAGAGCAGGCACAGCCCATTCTCATTTCCCTGTAACTTCTTAGGCAGCTCCTGTTCCGTGTGCCATCCTCGCCATCTCCGCCCCCCCCCACTCCCCCCGCCCCCCCCCCCCCCGCATGGTATTCCAGGCCCTTCAGGTTTTGTAGGTATCTGAGACCTGTCTGTGCTCATCGCTCGCCCAGTTCCACTGCTCCTGCCGTGGGATGCGTCTTCCCCTGGCCAGCGAGCTCTCCCAGGCCTGTGTGCACACACCTTCCCTCCCTGCCGGTGCCTTTCCCCGGACGCACGTGATGGAGGCAGGACCTTCCTCTAAGACACGACTGCAGAGTCACCTTCCCCAGGACATCTTCCCTGGTTTTCCTCCACTTCCCCTGGCAAATCAGACCTGTTCTACTTGCACTGATTTAGAAGTTAACTACGGAAGTACTTGGCACTTCCAGTGCCTCACCCAGACTTGGACTTGCAGGAAGACTTCCCAGAGGAGGTGTGATGGGTTGGAGTTATCCAGGCAAAGAAGTGACAAGTGTTCCAGGTAGGATCAGCTTGTGAAAAGAGTCAGGGGCATGAAACATTGATGGGAACGATGTTCAACTGAGTCACACCAGGCAGGGCCAATTTTCAACTTTTCATCTCATAGCACACATAAACTAGATCTGACAAAAAAATAGGTATCGTTTTGATTCATTCACATGGGACAGCTATTGTGTTGGCTGTTGTCATTTTTTATATTGGACAATTTAAGGGAAGGGAAGTCAGTGCCCCTGACTAAAATAGTTTTAAAAATTCTTGCAGCACACCAGTGTGCCTACCATGGCACACCAGTTGAAAATTGCTGGGTTAGAGCAAAGGTATGAGAGGGGAGGAGAGACAGATGCCAGGGCAAAGGACAAGCTCAGGAAGGACCTTGGATGCCAGGATAAGAGTGTAAACTTTATTCTGAATGCTATCGGGAGCCATTTGGAAGGACATTCCACGGAACTGTAATCTTAAGTCACTGAGATGGAACTACTGGAATTTCTTAGATGCCTCCAACTGCTTACCTCTAGGGTCCTGGGCTCCGAGGTTTGCCCTGAAACTCATGCAGCCTTTGGCTTCATGCTCTGCCTTGGGAGCAGGGAGTGACCCCCTGGCCCAGACAATGGGCTCATCGCCACGGTGTCGGGCCACTGGGTGGAGGCTCTCTAGGTGGTGCCTTTCAGACATGAGCTGCACACCATGATGTCAGAGGGGTGGGACCTGGGGGATGGAGTGGGGTGTAACAGCTGCTATCACGGTCCCCCTCTTCCCTCCTAAGGAATTAGAAACCACTCCCCAGGCTGCTGATCCAGGAGTCCTTGCACTTCTGGAGAAATTCATTCCTTTCATCAAACCCAAATTACCCCTGGAGACTGTAGGGTCACAACCTCAAGTTGATCTAGATTTAGATCCTGGCCCCGTTATGAGCTGTGAGACCATAAGCAAGTTAATTACTTTCTCCGAGCCTTACTTTTTCTCTATAAGATGGAGAAAATAATGTCTCCCTCACAGGGTCATTAGGAGCATCACAGAAGAAAATATTTGTAAATATTTGGCTGTGTGTATTAGTTCTGCCCCCGGCGAGTTTTCTTCTTGTGAAGTTTGACTCTCTTATTTGTCATCCAGGGCCCAGTCAGTTCAGCTTTTCTGCCCTAATAAGAGAATTGGGAAAGTATTATTTGAAAACATGAATACCATTGACCAAACTAGAAAATCTGACTTATTTAAGTTTATGTTAATAAGCCACACTCCAAGTCAGGCGCCATGAATTGATGATGGTGGAATGCAAAGAACCCAGAACTCATGGTAGCAAGACCTGAGTTGTGCCCTTGGCCAAGTCCTCCCTCTGAAAAACAAGGTCCCTTCCAGTATTTTTTTTTAAATCCTCACCTGAGGATATGTTTTAATTGATTCTGTAGAGAGAGGAAAGGAGAGAAAGAGGGAGAGAGAGAGGGACATCAATGTTAGAGAAAAACATCAGTCGGTTGCCTCCTGAACACACCCTGGCAGAAATCGAACCTGCAACCTTTTAGTGAATAGGCTGATGCTCCAACCAACTGAGCCACCCTTCCAGGGCCCTTCCAGTCTTGATGGTCTCTTGCACAAGTTAATAAACAATTAGACTCCAGTAGGTCACCCTTACAGCAGGGACAGAAGACAAAGCACCAAAGGGGGTCCCACTTTTTTGTTCACATAAGTTTTGTGAGTTTCCACACAGGCCTGCAGCAAGGGAAGGAGAAATTCTTCCATGGGAAAAGAGTTAAAAAGTCGATACTCCAAGAATGAATCATAAAATATTCCAAGAATGTCAGAGAGAAATACGACATACCCCAGGGGCCCCCCACGGGGAGTGCGAGAGGGGAGCAGCTGGCGTTGCCGCATGCTGAGCCTGATGCTGTCCTGAGTCCAGATTCCGAAGAGATTAAGATGGTGCAATGCCAAGGTGGGACTTCTCTCCCCTGCTTTCTATCTCTGTCTTCTGGACACTGAAGTCTTTTCCGGGGCAAACCCGTTGACACTGTCTCCATCTCCTGTGTAACAGATAAGAGATGTTTGATGCCACTTACTGTGTGATTTGGGGCAAGTGAATCCATCTCTGAGAGCTTCAATTCCTTCATCTGCAAAAAAGAGGTACAAATGCCCATTTCCCAAGATTGTTTAAAGGAGTCAATCTTTAAAGGAGGAAATAATGTGATAAAGCCTTTAGCCCGGCGTCTTAGGAAGGGCTCTGTCAATGGCAGCTAATGTTTTGGGAGAGGACAGCTGGGAGGAGTGGCCCAGTGCTGCGTGCCTGGCTCAGGCCCTGTCTGAATCACCCTGGGTCTCAATGGATACATACAAATTATGAGGCTAGCTTTGGTTTGTCATCATAGATCTAGAGGTCTCCACAGTGTGGGAGGAGAAGTAGAGACTTCTTCCAGCAACAGAAAGAGAAAAAAAGCTTCCAAGAGGCAAGCAGCCAGGGGTGTAGGCCTGGCTACCGAGTCTGCATGTGGACCTGCAGCTGGGCCAATACTGGGAGGGTGGGTTCTGAGGGGTGTGGTAAGCTCTGTGGGATTCATTGAGTAATTATTCAACAACTCTCCACTGGGTACCTACTACATGCCAGCCACTGGCTTTGGAAACTAAGGATACAGTAAAGAACACATTTCTGCAGGAACCATTCACAGTTACTGGGCTTGGAAAGAGAGCTTCTGAAGCCATACAGCCCAAGGAAGAAAACTCACTCCAATTATGAACTGTGGCCTTGTGCACATTACTTAACCTCTTGGAGATTTAATCTCCTGCTCTGTAAAAGGGGTTGCTATGACAGTTAAATGAGATGATAGATACAAGCTCCTGGCAAAGCCCTATGCTCAGAGTAAATGCTCAATAAAAGTTAACTATTCATGCCCTGGGCGATGTGGCTCATTGGTTAGCATGTCAGCCATGCACCAAAGGCTTTCAGGTTTGATTCTCGGTCAAGGGCATGTACCTGGATTGCAGGCAACCAATTGATATTTCTCCCTCTCTCTCTCTCTCCCTCCCTCTTCCACATTCTCTAAAAATTCAATAGAAAAAATATCCTCAGGTGAGGATTAACAACAACAAAAAGTTGACTATACATTATATTATTATTCTATTAATAAGCATGGCCAGAATGTGCAGGTTCATTTGAACTGGGGCCCCAGGAATACAGAATGTCTGCGTGCATGACAAGAATTGCATGACTAAGGCAGAAGCCCAGTCCTGGATCCAGAGGCGCATGGGGAAGGGCAGAGGGCACTTGGAGTGGGTGTGAAAAAGGAAGACAAACAGGATTCCAGTGGTCAATACCAAGGATGGAACCTGGGCACTTATGGCAACAGGGCAAACATAAAGAACTCAGACAGCCTGAGGACAAAGAGAGAGTGAAGATTCAAACCAGAGTAGCTAGTGTTCAGAACAGCCCCCACCCCCACCCCCTGCCACCCCCAAGGTGTGCCACTTTGGCTTGTGCATTATTTTAAGCTTAAAGAATTTACAGAATTTAAGTTAGCGGTCTTGCCCCATAATAAGAGTTATCACGAGAAATAACTTTTTATGACCTATGTATAGCACATGGTAAACTTTTAATTACTGAACATCTCTCCTTGTAGTCCTATGAATGACCTTTCTCCCTTCTGAAGCCTCAAGATGCTTTATCTCATCCTCAGCTCAGAATGTCATATATACTTCATTTTCCCTTTCTGTTGCTGAAATTCTCATGTATGTGGAGTCTCTGACTCTCTCATGTCTGTGGGGTTCCCACAGAGCTTCTCTGAGTTCTGTGAGCTGCTCTAGCAAATTAATCAAACCCAAGGATGGTGTCCTGGCAACCTCCAATCTATAGCAAGTAGGTCAGAAGCCTAGGCAACAATCTGGGCTTGGTACTGGTGTCTGAAGTTTGGAGGGTGGGGGCGGCCTTGGAGAACTGAACCTTTACCCTCTGGAATCTGACTCTATCTCTGGGTACACAGTGTCAGAATTGAGTTGAGTTCTCAGACATCCTGCTGGTGCCCAGGAATTCCTTATTGGTGTGGGGGGAAACCCTCCTCCACACATTGGCAATGGGTCTCAGAACCCCTTTACCTACATTCCAGTGAAGACATTTATTAAACAAACACCTATGGTGGCTGTTTGACCTGTGCTGGAGTCCTCACTCCCAATTACTAACATAGGGAGGAGTTGGCACAATGGAAAGAGCCTTGCCTCAGGAGTCAGGCAGACGTGGGTGGTGAATGAGGTGGTACTGGGTAGTTTTTTACAGCTTAATTCCTCAAGACCTACTTCAAAGGACATCCAGCTAACATGGTTTGCACGTGGAACTGCACTGAATGGGGTATCGCAGAACAAATCCGAGTCCCTGAGTCAGAAGACCTGGTTGCAGATCTCATACAAGTCATTTAGCTAGCCAGGGCCTCAGTGTCCTCCAGCATGAAACCAGAAAGTAGGCCTAGGAGCTGAAAAGACCCCTCCAGGATGACAAAATGACCTGGGGCCTTGAATTAAAATCTTGAGCTCAAATCCCACGCTTACTGCAAATCTACTCTGTGACTTGTGGTGATTCAACCTCTGACTCCCACCTCTCCCATATTCTTGGTTTCTTTGTTGAATAGAGGGAACTGATTCATCCAGCATTGAGCAAGTCTCTCAAGTGATGGCTGTTTGCTCTCCCACATCCTTGAATCACAGGGACTGGGACTAAAGACCAATTAGGTGTTCTTGCATCCAGCCCATTGCTCCTTCCCACTCCCCAAATCCCCTAGCTTGGAAACTCATTAGATACCTGAGAGCTGGGAGCCTGGGTCCTAAATGGATAACTGGGGATACAGCACTTCCATTGTACTGTCGGATCCACTTGCTTTACATAATAACTTCAACTCAACTGGGAACAACGCTCTTGGATTCTGGTTGTTTTCTTTTTCCAGGAGAACGTACAAAGGAAAAATAGTGGGATGAACTAATCCCCACCACTAGTCCATGCCACTACAGTTGCTTTTCTGGGGGCAATGGGTTTGCATCATTTCCCTCTCCTTACCTGTTTTACATTCCCCTCACCTTCTAGCACCTCTGTTGATCTGGGTCAGTGGTTGGCAAACTCATTAGTCAACAGAGCCAAATATCAACAGTACAACGATTGAAATTTCTTTCGAGAGCCAAATTTTTTAAACTTAAACTATATAGGTAGGTACATTGTTATTAACTTAATTAGGATACTCCTAAGGCTTAGGAAGAGCCACACTCAAGGGGCCAAAGAGCCGCATGTGGCTCACAAGCTGCAGTTTGCCGACCATGGATCTGGGTGGTTCATGTGGGAGAACAAGGGTCATCCAGATTCTCATTCCTGAAGAGCCTGAGCCCCTGGCTGTCATGTTTTTCTTATCCATTTACTATCAATTTTGGGCAAGTCTTAGTTGGGAGTACCAAAAGATGCCCCAGTGAATCTCTTGGGTGTCAAACCTACCCTCCTTGCCCCCACTGTATAACAGTAGCCCCACCACCTGCTGAAAATCAGAATTAATAAACCCTGACGAAGATTGTCATTCCTCTCCTTGCCTGCTGGTCTTTTGTCATAAAGAACCCAAGGTGACCAGGAAGTAGTTATAGCTTAAAATTTAATGGGATTCCTAGAATGTACCCTGGTAGAAGTTTTCTTCTTTTGGGAGCCAAGACCTCTAAATCTACAGAGTCTGGGATGGGAATAAAAAGTACAAATTCTCCAAGTTGATTATCAGAAATAATGGTAAGCAAGACACTCCTACTTCCAGTCCTTGGTTCCTTGACCCATGAATTCTACCTTTAGGGGACATAGAATCATATATTGGTAATTGATGTAACATGTTTAATGCATCCTAGAAGGTGGGCTCCTTTGCAAGGTAACTTTTCAAGTCTGGCTCTTTAAATGATTCTTCAAACAGCCATTCGATAACCTTATCAGGGTGGCACTTTCTGGGTCATACAAGATATGACAGGACCAATGGATCACATCATGTGGCAGTGTCATCCCTCCTTTGCTATAAAGTAGGTTCCTTAGTGTAATATGATATTATGCAGAACCTCTTGTTGATGGATTAAACACTCAGTAAACCTTTGGATGGTGCTTCTGCCAAAGACCTGCAAGCAGAAATGGTAGACCTGTAACTAGAATATGTGCCACCAAGTGCCCCCTATTATTTGGGAATTCTATCATTCCCATTGCTATCAGGAAGCCCGTTCTGTGATACTATCTTCTCCTACCGTTAGCTCAGATCCATGTAGGACAGGCAACTGCGCTTCTCAACAATGCTGGTTCTCCTCTGTCCAGGTGACTCCCTATTGTGTTGGTAAGTGGAGTGTCTTCCCACAAAACGTAATTGACTGGTGGGTTTTCTAGACTTACCTGCATGTTCACTCTAATATGCCCACTTTGTTTTGATCCCCCTTTCACCCTCTGTCATGGCCATTTTATCGACTATACTTGATCCAGTCAATGTTGGCTAACATATTTTGGGAAGGTTCTGTGATCCATTGTATCATCTCCTGAGGTCCTTCCCAGCATGCTAAATCCTATATGAAAGGAGAGTGTCCTCATACCGATAAGCTATCATTTTTCCTACCGCAGATCTCAGGGTTCCTTTTCTTCCCAATCAGGGTCTTGACCCTAGTTTAGCTGGCTCACCATGGTTGAGAATTCAGGCTTCTCTAGAGCCCTGGAACCTTTGTAATCAAGTTCTGGGCCTGCGCCTCAGTTTTTTCCTGCTCTCTGGCTGCAGTACACGAGAGTCTCTCTACATGCTGTCAAGTAAGACTTCTGACTTTCACATTTTGCATATAGTGGTGATTAATCAACCCAGGTTTTCATATCTTTTTCCGATGCATTAATTGTACTCAACCATCCAATTCCATTGTCCTTATAATTACTCTTTTCCTTAAACCTCTTGAATACCTGAGATGTAGCAATAGTTAGTGCATTCCTTTCCACTGGTCTTCCATTCACCACTGATTGAATCAGACTCTGCATTCTACCAGTGATAGGGTCCCCTTTGCCCAC